GGCGGATGCCTCGTGCACGACAGTAGGCTCGCAGAAGGCCAGAGGAGAACTCTCCGCCTCTGTCAGAGTGCAGACGCAGAACAGGAAAGTCCGAGCCGAAACTCTCTCTGAGCTGGAGACGAGCTGCGCGGATCCAGTCGATCAACACCTCAGTGACATCACCCTTGCTGCGCAAGGGGAAGACTGTGGTGTAACGCGAGTAGTCGTCAACCACCAGCAGGAAGTAGCGCTCGTGACCCTGTCCACGGACGCGGGCCGGGCCCCACACGTCCATGTGAAGCGTCTGCAGCGGGGCCTCTGTCGGAGGAAACTGGGAGGAGTGAGGGGCAGCACGCTGCCGCCCCTCGACACAGGGGACGCAGGTAGGGGCAGGCCCCGGAGGAAGGGGAGGGAGGGAGCGGGGAAGACCAGAGACAAGGACACGGGAGGCCATGCCTCGGAGACGAGGCAGGGAGGGGTGACCAAGGCGGTGGTGCCAGAGGAGAGTCTCGTGAGACAGGAGGCGACACGAGCAGGGGGCAGACTCAGGACCAGACCTGGACGCTGCAGCAAACACCTGACCCGACGCAGCTGCCTGACCAGACGCAGTGACTGGAGGAGACTCAGTGGTCAGTGTGTACAGGCTCGACCCCGGCCGACGTGTAAACGTGGCCAAGTGTCGGCCCGTCCGAGCGTCCGTGCAGTGGGTCACACGCTGGCTCGCAGGAGTGAACTGGTGAACCCCCGCATCCTGTAGGTCAGCACCACTCACCAAGTTCGTAGAGAACGAGGGGAGGTAAAGACCAGACAGGGTGCCAGAGGGGGCCGCCGGACACGGGAGGACAGTGGAGAAGTGAGCAAGGACAGGACCCCCAGAGGGGTCTGCCAGAGAGACTGCAACTGGCCGACCAAGCGGCGTGAGTGTGGTGCGGTCTCGAAAGAAGGAGCGAGAAGCCCCCGAGTCAAGAGTGAAGGTGTGGGAGGCCGGAGCCAACGCAGTACCTGAGAGAGCAGACTCACCAGCACCTGAGGAAGCAGACGCACTGGCACCTAGAGCAGCAGCCTCGCTAGCACCTAGAGCAGCAGCCTCACCAGTACCTAGAGCAGCAGTCCCAATGCCCGGGTCGGGCGGAAAACACCAGTAACAGTCACCCTCATCACTAATAGTCACAGCATACATGGCAGCAAGAATAGCATCAAAGTCAAGGTCAAAGATAGCTACTCCCGCCCTAGACAACTCGCCCCAGCGAGGGATCTCAGTGGCCTCAGGGAACTGGTGACGCCAAGCGTCCGTCAGGCGGCCAAAGCAGCGCTGGGTGGAGTGCGCACCTCCGCACGGCTCACCCGCGCGGTCGCCGGTGCGTAGGACGTAGGTGCACGGACCAGTACCCCCACCCCGCTGGCGTGCAGCGTACCACTCACGAAGCTGCTGAGGGGGGGGGATCTCACGAGTGCGCTGCTGCTGCTGCTGCTGCTGCTGGCGCTGACCACCACCGGAGCCGACCCTCTGCGCAGCGCCACCCCGACCAGCTCCACCTCCTCCGCCGCCGCCTCCTCCACCGCCGCCACCTCCGCCACCTCCGCTCCCACCGCCACCGCCGCCGCCGCCTCCGCCTCCACTGCCGCCACCGACGCCCCCACCCCCGCCACCACCCCCACCGCCACCCCCACCCCCTCCGCCGCCTCCACCGCCGCCTCCACCGCCCCCGCTAGCTCCTCCAGCGCCCCTGCCCCCCTTGCCCTTGCCAGTGCGGCGTCTCCCGCTAGGGGCAGACGCCGCACCGACCGACTCAAGACCAACGAGGTCGGCCGCAGCAGCAGAGGCAACAGAGGGCAAGAGAGGAGAGGGGGAGCACCCCTCAAAGACAGGGGCACGAGGGTCACCACGAGAGGCTTCTACAGCAACTATGCTCTTCTCTGCTGCTAGGAGGCGCTCCTCGAGGAGGTCAACGGTGAGGGTGGTGGGGCAAACAGAGAGAAAGTGGTCCCTGACCGGGCGAAGGGTGTCAGGGAGCCGGGTGACTACGTAGTAGAGGGTGATGTACATAGGGGGGGGGTTCTTGGCGCAGAACTCAGGAGGAAGGGCAGCGCGGTAGCGAGTGTCACTAGTGCGCAGGTGCGTAATGAGGTCAGCGACTGTGGGAAAAGCGGCGAGGTCAGGGAAGAGGTACGGCAGGATGAGGCGGCTAAGTGCAGCAGTGGCAGGGGAAGAGTAGCGTGCAACTACGGCGTCGTACAAGGTCTTAGCACTCTTGTACTGACTAAAGTGTGCACGCTCAGCGGTAGGCAAGTGGCGGCGCACAGCAAGACGGGCAGCAGCGTCGCGTGTGGCCCACTGTGAGCGAACAGTGGCATCAGCATCAGCAGCAGGGGCAGAAGAGGCACCAGAAGTGAGGTCAAAGAGAGAGAGACCGTCTGCCCTGTCGCACTGTAGGAAAAGCTGCAGGTCATCTACCCAGACGTCAAAGTCAATGGCCCGACCCTCAGCGTCAAAAGCGAGGACACTGGGGGTAGCCATGACAGCAGTAGACTAGCAGCTGGAGCAGTAGGGTAAGGGCAGCGCAGTGGTAGAGGTGCCGCTCTTACCGGACAGGGTGGCTCGGGCGGCTCGGCAGCTCGGCGGCTCGGCAGCAACTGCAGCTCGGCGGCTCGGCGACTCGGCGGCTCGGGCGGCTCGGCAGCAACTGGAGCTCGGCGGCTCGGCGACTCGGCGGCTCGGGCGGCTCAGGTGGCTCGGCGGCTCGGGCGGCTCGGGTGGCTCGGGCGGCTCGGCAGCAGCGGCGGCTCGGTAGATCGGCGGCTCAGCGGCGCCGGCGGCTCGGTGGTGACGGCGGGGCCGCGTGGGGACGGCGGCGGGGCCGGGTGGGGCGGCGACGAGGCCGCTGAGGGCGGCGGCGGGGCCACGAAGGGTGGCGACCGGCGCCTTAAGGGTGGGGCCGCGGGGTCGCAAGGGTGGGGCAACGGGGCCAGCAGAGGCGGCGCCGGGGCCGGGAAGGGCGGCGCCGGGGCCGGGAAGGGCGGCGCCGGGGCCGGGAAGGGTGGCGCCGGGGCCGCAAGGGTAGGCGACGGGGCCGCGAGGGCGGCGTGGAGGGGTCGCGAGGGCGGCTCAAGGAGGCCGCGAGGGCGGCGCGAAAGGGCCGCGAGGGCGGCGCGAAAGGGCCGCGAGGGCGGCGCGACACGACGGGACCGCGAGGGCGGCGCGACGGGGTCGCAAGGGCGACGCGACGGGGCCGCTAGGGAGGCGCGACGCGACGGGGCCGCTGAGGCGGCGCGACGGGGTCGTAAGGGCGGCGCGACGGGGCCGTGAGAGGGGAGCGCGACTCGGGCAGAGGCTGAGCGCGCTCCGGGCAGGAAAAAAAAGTTGGTGGGCCCTAGGAACAGTTCCCACAGGGGAACCTGCTCTATACCATGTGAAAATGAACGAGGAATGAAAAGACTAAGGGAAAGTTGGGTACAAGTACAAACCCTAGAAAGCTGTACCCCATATGTGCTACCCCACTATAGCCTACAGCAGCTAAGTCATATAAATCTGACACGACTCGCTACGAATTTAAATATGCTGCACAAATAGGACAAAATCAACCGGGAGTTAAAAGTTCCATAACTCGCAACAGAAAACATATGTTTCGTCTTGTGACGATACGTGATAACTTCGTGGGGCACTGTGTGACCAAGCGTGGTTCTCCTATGACTATCCGTGATAGAATCCTAGATTCTGTGACCATCCGTGATAGAATTCTAGATTCTGTGACCGTTCGTGATAACCGCTTGACCATTTGTGATAGCGCGTCATGTATATTGACCATTTGTATAATAACCCCAGTTCTTGCTTTTCTGAACTGGCCCGAGCCGCACTGCGCAAGTGATGTGGTGGTGGTGGCATGGCATGAGTGTTGCTGCCTGCGCTGTGAATCTCGGGATCATCGAGATTCTTACAAAAAGTCATGAAAGACGCGCTATACGCGCCGTTTGAAATCCCGAATACACCCTCTCTAGCCGATTCCACCTCGATCCCCATAGTTGATACTTCGTAAATGATAACATCTTGGGTAGAGTAGATCGGGTTGTACCCACCACCTAATGATGTCTCGTGAAGATAATCATATTCAGTGAGCAGAAGCATTATCGCCTAGAGATCCCAAATGGCGGGAGAAACGCGCACGCACATTCCTGCATACAGGGAGGGGGGTCTATAATCACCAGCAGCGCGGTATCCCCCATATCATTGTCCTGGTCTCACTATCCAGGCGAATGTGCTTGCCGTTCCAGACACTGTTGTTTAACACCACAACAACCCACTACATGTGAGAATACATATTATTACATAAAACAAGGGAAACTGCAAACCTGTGGGAAAGGGGCGACTACCAGTAGTTCAGTAATAAATACTTCAGCAGCAATCTACATGTGTCACTGGGGGCAATATAAATTGCAGCCATGCCAATGTATCTGATCATCTGATGTGCCTGGTACAGCATCCACCCCACAAGACACAGGTGACTCCTCTTTATCCGCACATCACCCTGTCTTGGTGCAGGAGCACTGGCAGCTCATGGGGTTGCTGGCGCTAGCACAGTTGCAATCACACTTCATCTTCACGCTGCCTCCACTCGAAGGAGGTGGGGGAGGTGGAGAAGGGGGAGGAGGAGGGGGAGAGGGAGAGGGCAGGGTTTTTGCAGGACGCACTTGTTCTGCACACGGTCCCAGTTTTGCTGCACCAGGAACTTCCTCCCATTCAGCCCCACCAGATTGTACTCATAGCTCTTGCCGTTCTGCAGGGATTCCATCTTGGTGCTGCCGAAATTCTACGCGCAATTGTGAGCGTTCTCCCCGCCCCCATCAACGAACCACCCGGTACTTACATCCGGATCCGTGGCAATTTCGGTGATCTCATGCGCAAGCGAGGTGATAGTGGCATCAATGCCAGGGTTTTCATTGGGCGACGTGCCCCTTACCCCGCTGGGGTACTGAATGTGGTGCCCCACAAAGGCGAAGCGCAGAGGGGTGGAGTTGATTGAGTCCTAGGTGTGCCAGGCGCAGTACTTCTTATAGAAGTCCCCAAACTTAACGTCGGCGCTCGTAAGTAGAACGTAGATGCTGTGAGGATCCAGCGAGAAGGGCTTGCCAGGCCCCACAAAGCTGTTCACAATTGCACGGGCGGCGGAGAGGCAGGCGGAGGCCCGGGGAGGGGAGGGCGGAGAGGAGGGTGAGACAGCGAGCGTGCAGGTACTGGAGCGTGTGGGCGGGTGAAGGGTAGAGGTGATATCAAGCAGGAGACGATGAATCAACGCAGGAGAAGGTGAGCATGGAAGGTGCACTTGGAACAAGCAGAGGAAACACTTAGAGTGGCTGAGTTGAGAGTGGTGAGGAGCGGTACATACTGGCGTGCACGTCGTTTTTGACGGGTTCTTGCCGCGTGAATAGTTGTCGATCACAGTCCCAGCGAGACGAACCTGCGCCAGGAGCAGATGGCAGCAAGATGGAGTGAACGGATGAGGGCGTGCAAGAGGGAATGAATGAACAAGGGACGCAAATGAAGAGCACAAGGAGCAGATAGAGCAACGTCATGCAAGCGTGGCTAGGCTAGCTCCTTATTGAATTCTCACCACGCCTTCCCCAGCGATGCCCTGGCTGCCCTTTTTGTTAGAATTCTCAAAAGCGACCTCCCTCTCTCACCTTGGAGCTAACATTCTTCTTCCCATCGGCGCCAGACTGGTAGTACGCGGCCGTGATGGCCCACCACCACCCCTTCACACTCGCGTCCCCCGCGCCGCCCTTACTGCCCGAGTCCTTGCTCAGCGACTGCACGAATGCGTCAATGATCTCCCTTCCCGACCCCGCCCCCCAGCTGCCATGGTAGATGTGGTAAATATTGATCGTTGGATTGCCCACCACCACCGGCCCGCCGTGGTACTTGTTCGTCGCGCCCGCGGCCGGGGTGATGGCGGTTGTGGTGGCGATGGCATGGGAGGTGCCGTGCGAGGCGCCGTCAGATGCAGAGAAGCCGTCAGATGCGGAGAAGCCATCAATGGCGACGGAGCGGACGAGCGGAAAGCCGATGGCTGAAACGATCGCGTCGCCGCCCGGGACGCCGCGAACGGCGGTGGTGGCGGTCCGCTGCTGCTGCTGTCTGCGTAAGAGGGGCGTGTGAGGGACACGCGCTTCCTCGGACCGCCAGATTCCCCGATCCACTCCGATTCGGCCGGTCGAAGCGCGCCGGAGACGAAGAGCAGGACGAGCGAGAGGAGCAGGCGACGAGCCGGGGAGAAAGCGAACGACCCCGCCGCCGCCATGGTGATGGCGAATGTGTTACGAGACTAACTTAGCTGGTAACGGGATTTAAGGAGGGCCTATGCTTAGTAGCCTAGGCCAAGCGGGTATCGAGGGTGGCGAGAGCAAGGGTCGAGAGAAATTGACCAAGCAAGTGGGCTTCACTAAGAGCAAAGCATATAAGATATAGTCGAGAAACACAAACAAGAGGTGCACCACCAATAGCAAGGAAACATAACTTCACTAAAGGTAAAGCTACAGGCAGTTATTAATATGTATAAAATATATATCGCGACACACCCCCTTAACTGCCTGCAGCACACAGCTAGAGTAAGTCACACCCCCTTAACCTGCTTACGGTATGAGCTTGTGAAGCCACGGAGGGGTAGAAGAAGCAGGGGAAACAGCAACACATAACAGTCATGATAAATGCAACAATGGCAGGTGCATGACCCAAAAGGTGGGTGTGAGAGCAGGCGCCTTGGCTGCAACGAGCAGCAGGACAGCGCGGCTCAGCACCTCCGGGGGCGTGCCTGCAACAGGCAGCAGTTGCAGTGATGGCAGATGGAGCTACAGTGACCTCAGCCACGGCAGATGCAGCAGCGACAGGTGCAGGACCCGGCAGGTGGGCGTGAGAGCATGCGCCGCAGCTGCAACGAGCAGCAGGACAGCGCAGCTCAGCACCTCCGAGGGCGTGCCTGCTACAGGCAGTGGCTGCAGATGCCCGACTTGCTTCTACCACCCCCTCAACCTCTCTCCCCCCCCTTCCCCACAGCGACAAGCCCTGCAGGGAGAGAGAAAGGAAGAGAGGCAGTGCGTGACGAATTGCTGGTCACTCCCGCCACCCCCTCATCTCCCCCCCCCACCCCCCACTGTGGAAGCCGCTGAAGGGAGGGGGGGGCGGCGTACGATGTTGCTGGCGGGGTCTTTGCTGGCAGTGTAGCTGCTGGCAGGGTCTCTGCTGGCGGTGTAGCTGCTGGCGGGGTCTCTGCTGGCGGTGAAGCTGCTGGCGCGGTCTCTGCTGGCGGTGACGGCGCGTGCCGGTGCTGGAGCTGGTGACTGGTTTCGGTGCTGGTGCTGGTGCTGGTGCTGGCGGCTGGCCCTAGTGCTGGTGCCTTGTGCTGGCAGCTGGCTCTGGTGCTGGTGCTGGCGGCTGGCGCTGGTGCTGGTGCCTGGTGCTGGCGGCTGCCGCTGGTGCTGGTGCCTGGTGCCGGCGGCTGGCGCTGGTGCTGGTGCCTGGTGCTGGCGTGACGGCGCTGGTGCTGGTACCTGGTGCTGGCGGCTGGCGCTGTTGCTGGTGCCTGGTGCCGGCGGCTGGCGCTGGTGCTGGTGCCTGGTGCTGGTGGCTGGCGCTGGAGCTGGCGGCTGGCGCTGGTGCTGGGTGCTGGCGGCTGGCGCTGGTGCTGGTGCCTGGTGCCGGCGGCTGGCACTGGTGCTAGTGCCTGGTGCTGGCGTGACGGTGCTGGTGCTGGTACCTGGTGCTGGCGGCTGTCGCTGGAGCTGGCGGCTGGTGCTGGTGCTGGTGCCTGGTGCTGATGGGGCGCGAGGGGTGGGACGAGCTGCAGACCGACTACAGGCTGGGCGGGATCGGACGGTAGGAGGCGCGCAAGCGCTGGTGCGATCGCCGGTGCGCTGGCGGTGATCGCTGGTGTTCCGCCCCCACTCCCTTCCCCCTTTTCCTCTCTCCCCCACGGCATTCCGCCGCCACTCCCTTCCCCCTTTCCCTCTCCCCCCCACAGCGTTCCACCGCCAATCCCTTCCCCTCCTCCCTCTCCCCCACAGCGACCGCCGCTGCACACGCGAACAGTCGCGACGGGGGGGGGGGGGGGGGGTGACGGGCAGGGGGCCGAGGCGACGGGAGGGAAGAAAACGGGACGGGGGGGGAAGGGCCGCGACGACCGCCACGGACGCCGTCCCCTTCATTCCCGATGCCCCCCCCCCCCCCCCCCCCCCCCCCCCCTCCTCCCCTTTCCCCACTCTCGCGCAAACTCGGCAGCAGGCGTAGGCGCGGGCAGAGGTGGTGACGGGGGGGAAACGCGACAGGCTGACGACGAGGGAAACGCGACGGGCTGACGACAAGGAACCGCGACGGGCTGGAGACGAGGGAAATCGCAACGGGCTGGCGACGAGGGAAACGCGGTCAACTCGCCGCGGCGCCCGTCGCAGTGAGCGCCGTGCCGCGAACTGGTGAGCCCATTAACTTAGGTCAGGTTTTTAATCGCTCAATACCATGTTACGAGACTAACTTAGTTGGTAACCGGGTTTAAGGAGGGCCTAGGCTTAGTAGTCTAGGCCAAGCGGGTATCGAGGGTGGCGAGAGCAAGGGTCGAGAGAAATTGACCAAACAAGTGGGCTTCACTAAGAGCAAAGCATACAAGATATAGTCGAGAAACACAAACAAGAGGTGCACCACCAGGGCTCAGGGTATCAGTGTAATTTACCCTTCTATACTGATTACAAGGGTGAAATTTTTTGTCTACACTGATGTGCTGGGGTAATTTCTTGGTGAGTTAGTGTTACACTGATCTGTAAGTGTATCGACGTAGGCCACACTGATGCCTTAAGGTAAAGTACACACTGCCCATAAGGGTTTTTGAAAAAGCTATACTGCCAATCGTGAGTAGCCCAAATCCAGAACGAAGCCCTGTGCACCACCAATAGCAAGGAAACATAACTACACTAAAGCTAAAGCTACAGGCAGTTATAAATATATATATAATATATATCGCGACAGAATGCCGTAGAGAGGCTCGACTCGGAGTCGAGAATCGTTCAGCCGCGCGCCGTTTAGTACAGAATGTGGGTGTTTTGAGGTGCTGCGCTAATAAAGGATCCAGCGGTAGCATGCTAAAACATCCTACGCCGCTCTCGCGAGGCCGGCTACAGTCGCGGCGCGGCATTTTCAAACTGCTAATAACGGACAGACGTGTTTCAGACGTGCTCGGTTTGCCTTGTTTTCATTGTCGCTGCAAGTAATCGCCGCTTTGTGCCCGCGTACCTGGCAAGTCGTGCTCGACGTTGGCTCTGCACGATTCTGGCTCAGCAGTCCGAGTTCGACCGGAAGGGCAGAAATTTATGGACTGGAGGGAGCTTCAAGAGGATTTGGCTGGTGGAGCATTCAAGAGGAAGAAAACCAGATTGGGCGAGGGGACGGGCTGGGCTGGGGGTGACGAGGAGGTGAGTGAGGTGATGTGGAGTATACGATACGGGTAATCTCGTAGCAGGGTGGTTCGTGTCGCGGATACTAGCGAACGGCTTAGATTGGTCATTCCAACAAGCGAATGACAGTCCGAGCATTCTGTCAAACTGTCATTTGTTCTGTAGGCTGTAGTGGGGTACTCAACAGCGAGTACAACCCTTTTAGGGTTTCCTATATGTATCCCACCTCCTACTAGTTCAAATCACTCTTCTACCATTCCTTCTTATCGCCTAATCTCAACATGCTATCAGAGCAGGTCGACCCTCCTTGGTCGATCCTGTGCATGGGCCCTACTGCTTCTGTGAAGAGGAGAACGCGAATGAATGAACTATGAATGAAGTGAGTACATATAGGAAACCCTAATTGGGTTGTACCCCCTCTGGGATACCCCACTATAGCCTACACAACAGCATAAGCTATATAATGTTCTGACACACCCCCATAGGCAAAGTGGGGGAGAACAAGGGGTCACAAGACCAGTCACGCAAAGCACAGCAAGCTCAGGGTGGATCACAAAGTCACCACACAGTCCGAGCACAACGACAAGGCCACAAGGCCAGTTCACATGCAGGAGGACACATATATATATATAGAGCTAGACAAGCAAGAGCAGGTATATATATGTGACAGTACAAGCAAGGTCAAGAGGAGAGCAAGTGAGGCAAGACAGGTACAAGACCCAACTGAGTGCAGAAGCGCTGATGGTCACAAGGCGCAAGTGCCTTGGTGAACACATCAGCAGTGTTGGCCTCAGAGGCCACGTACGCAAGTCGCAACTGACCACGCTGCTGCAGCTTACGAGCAAGAAAGTAACGGAGAGCAATGTGCTTCGTTCTGTGCTCCAAGCGCTGCTCTCGACACAAGGCCAGCATGGCCTTGTTGTCTACGTACAGCACTGGAGGAGAACGAGGCTGCTCTCCAAGGTCAGTCAGCAGGTAGGTGAGCCAGCGAAGCTCCTGTGCAGCCATGGCCCCGGCGTAGATCTCAGCCTCACAACTGGAGCCGAGAACAGAGGACGAGCGAGTAGCCCGCCACGAGACAGAGCCGGAACCAAGACTGAAGGTGTAACCCTGCGACGACCGCTGCGTAGCCTGGTCGTCAGCCCAAGAAGCGTCCGCGTGCCCAGTGAGGACCACTGGACTCCGCCCTCCAAGCACTAGCCCCATGCCCGACGTACTGCACAAGTAGCGCAACACCCTCTTCGCTGCAGCCATGTGCTCTGGTCGGTGTCTCCCAGGAGCAACATAGCGTGCAAGAATGCTAAGAGGGTATGCAAGGTCAGGTCGTGTGCAGGTCATCAGGTACATGAGGCAGCCAACAAGCTCTGGGTACGGGCCACTCGACTCTACGGACTCATCCGAAGGCAGAGCTGAGAGCGAGTGGCGAGTAGACAGAGGAGTGGCCTGAGGCGAGGAGTACGTGAAGCCGAAGCGCTGAAGGACCTGCTGCACCATGTGTGACTGAGTCAAGGTAATGGTGCGGCGTGCTCTGTCCCGAGTGATCTGCAAGCCAAGGTAGCTGCGCAGTTCACCCAGGTCTGTGCACGTGTGTCTCTTCTGCAGCTCGGACTTCACGTAGGCTAGTCCAGCAGTGTCAGCTGTGGCAAAGACCAAGTCGTCGACGTACACGAGGATGTAGAACGGCGGCAAAGAAGTGTCGGTGCGCAGAAACAACGACGGGTCAGCAGTAGAGGGAGCAAACCCAAGAGCCGCAAGCGTAGTCCTCAGTGTGTCGTGCCACTCACGCGGTGCCTGGCGGAGACCGTAGACTGGCCGTCGGAGGCTCCACTGGGTGCCAGGAGGGAAAGTCCCAGTGAAGCCAGGT